CACCACCCACAGAGCCCTTGCCTTGCAAAACTCTGACTTGGCTTCAGGCTGAATGCTCACCTGGACCTCAGGCTGGATGCGGCATCAGGATGCAGTATCCACCCGGCCCTGGGATTCAGGCTAAGCCCTCACCCAGCTCCTGCCTGAGGCCCAATGCTGGACACCCAGGCTCAGGCTGGATGTAGGATCAGGTTACAGTATCCACCCTGCCCTGGGATTCAGGCTGAGCCCTCACCCATCTCCTGCCTGAGCCCCAAACCTGGACACCCAGGCTCAGGCTAGATGTAGGATCAGGATGCAGTATCCACTCTGTCCTCAGAAGCAGGCTGAGCCAGCTCCCTCTTTAACCCTAATCTCTTGACTGAAACAATTCCACATCTGTGTTCTCACTTTCTGTTTCTGCCTTGCTTTCTCTGATCCTTTCCTCCCTTTCTCTCTGCTCTTTCTCATAGAAGCAAGGGGGTGGGGCAGTAAGGAGTGGGTAAGCTGGCAGAGAGATAAGATTCATCAATATTTAATTTTTATGGAAATCATGTCCTAGAAATCCCCAAGGGGCTGAAAATTGTTCTGTGTTTTCAGAATCCAGTGATGTTGCTGAAGCGGTTATGTTGTAAATAAAACCACATTACTGTCTGCCGTTCACCCGTCGTTCTGCAAACATCTGGAAACTTGACAGTTTAATCCACTCAAGGAAACAAAAAGGTTCAGGTCACTGGTGGGGGCAGCCTGCTCCCCCAGCCCAGGGATATAGATTGTGAGTCACAGCCTCACAGTGCTGTTGTTATAGCTGGGGAGCGAGACAGTTGGTGAAATTTTCGTCCTCTGAACAGGAACCCTGGGACAGCAGAGCCCCCTGGGGCTCTTGCTGTTGGGAATGTTGGCCTGCATGTAATGGGCTTGCTTCTCCTGCCACATGCTCGGGGCACACTCAACCAGATGACCAACAGAAGGGTCATACCCAAGTCCATGGCCAACAGCTTTTGGGGGAGTTGAGATCTGGAAAGGACTTCTGTTTGTTCATTCGTTTGTTCATTCATTTGTTCACTCATCCATCAAACATTTATTGAGCATCTACTTTGTGCCAGATACTGTTCTAGGTACTGAGTATACAGCCATAAGCAAAACACAGAGAAATCCCTCTTACATTCTAGTAGATAGAGACAGATAACAAACCAGATAAATAAATAAAATATCTAGTATGTTGGATGGTCAAAAGTGTTGTAGAGAAAAATGAAGCAGGAATTGTAGGTATTTATCTAACAGAAGTGGAAGTACTTATACACTGGAAGTCTTCTATAGGAGTGTTCATAGCAGCTTTATTCGTAAGAGCCGAACCTTGGACAAGGTCCAGATGTCCATCAACAGGTGAATGGACCAGCATCTGTGATCCATCCACATGATGGAACATGACTCAGCAACAACAAGGAGCAATACTGATACATACTGATACCTGAGCATGAATTTAAAAAAATATATTTTTCTGAACGGAAGAAGTCGGATACAAAAACAAATACGTACTGGATGATTCCATTTATATGAATTCTAGAATAGACAAAACCAATCTGTGGCAATAGAAATCAGAGTAGCGGCTGCTTTGGGGAAGAGAGGTGTGGGCTGGGGAGGGGACAAGGAGACTTTTAGGGTGTGATGGGGATGCCGTGTGTCTTGATACACGTTCATCCACACTGATTGAATGGTCCACTTAAGACTGGAGCATTTCATCTCAAATTATGCTCAGTTAAAACAGTTTTCAAAGCACAGCAGTGGGGTAAGATGTATCGGTGAAGGTGGTGGGGGTTACAGCTTGAAATGCGGTGGCCAGGGAAGGCTTTATGGAGGAGGGAACTTGAAAACTCTAAGGGAGAGCCATGAGAATATTTGGGGGAAGAGCATTCCAGACCGAGGGAATAGCAAGTGCAAAGACCCTGAGTCTCAAGGAACAGCAAGAAAGCCAGTGTGAACAGACGTGCTGGTGACACAGACAGAACGCTGTGTCCTGTCTGCATGGCTGCACGGACAGCCTGGCTGCTTGTGTCTGCCATCCCCTGTGATGATGGTGTTGGCCTGGGGAGAGGATGGATGGTGATGGCGGAGGCTGGAGATTACAGTTCTCATGATGGCTTTCCACTTACTCACATCAGTAGGGGAACTTGTTTCCAGAAAAGCCAGCAGAGTTCTGATTGAGGTTCAAGTCCTAGATTTTGCTTCCTGCTGAGCAGTGGCCTGAGGGTCTGTGGGAGGTGGAGTCCAGTTGAAGAGACTGATGGGGCTTAGCAGCTTTTTGTCCACTTTTTCCCAATTCTAGTGGCAACCGTGATGGTGGCCCTGGGTGTGACCATCCCTGCAGCTCTGACACTGTGGCTATGCCTGAGAGGGCGGCTGGAGCCAGAGCTGCGGCCAGTGTGGCAGCTGAGTCTCCAAAGCAGTTCTTCTCTTTTGATCAAGATGAAAGGAACATGCGTGGTCATTGGGGGAGGGGCATCGGACCTTTGATTGCTCTGAGCTTCAGGCTGTGAAGATGGCCAAGGTGAGGGATTTTGGGAAATAAATTCTCAGGTACTCAGTGTTAGGAGTGACCTAGGGTCTGCTCCCAATACAATGAAGGTTCTTGAGAGAGAAGGAAAAGAATATGTGAGCACTTATTATGTAGTCTGAGCCCTTTCCATGCATTCTCTTCCTTTCATTCTCCCAACACCCTATGGGGGAGACAATTACCCGATATTACAGATGAGGAAACTGAGGCTCTGAGTGGGGCAGTGACTTGTCCAAGCTTACGCAGCTGTTGAACTACGGCACTGGCATTTGAGTCCAGGCCTGTTGGATTAGAAGCCTGGCACTTTCTCTTCCCACACTGTGCTTGTTCCCTGGTCCCGCTGGACACAGAGCCCATGGACGCCAGAGCACCTCCTTACCCCATCCTCCATCCTTGGAGAAATCCTACTCTCAGGCCTCTTCCAGGGAAGGCATGGTGGTAGATGCCCTAGCCCACTGACCCTCAGGAAGGACCAGGGGAAGCCAGTGGGAGGACTAGGGAAAAATGACATCCTCTGACTTTTCCAGACAGGCAGACCCATGGAATCTGTCCAGTTTACAGAAAGAGAAACTGAGGATGCAAGAGGGAAAATGGCTTACTTATGGCCCCATAGAATGTAAGAGTGTTTCCAACGCATAAGGGAGCTCTGAGTTCTAGAAGCGGGTAGTGCAGCAAGATGTGTGTGTGTGTGTGTGTGTGTGTGTGTGTGTGTGTGTATAGAGGGTAGTGTGAGAATAATGAAAGCATCTCCCCTTCTCACCCCAGAGCAGCTCAGCTCTGTAGGAGAGACATGGGCCTGGGCCCTGCTGAAATTCCCGGCCGAGGCAAAGCTGTCCCTAAGCCTGGAAACACTAGAAGGACGTGGATGTTGGGAGAAGCTTGCATGGAGTGCTGCTGGGCATTTTGGGGGGACCCAGCCTGTGCTTACAGGAACAGCCAGACATGGAGGAGGACAACCTCCAGCAGCACTTCCTCCCACCTTCCTCCTGAGATCACCCGTCAGGCCCTGCATCCAGCCTCGCTTGGCGGGGACGCTGTTTATCGTCCATGGAGAGTGCTGAGAGCCTGGGCTTTGCCAAGCCGCACTTGGAAAACGCTATTAATCGCCTTTTATTTATTTATTTATGAGATTTTGCTGTAGGCAAAAAAATAAAAAAAGGTTTGTACCGTGTTTCCCTCAGCAGGGAGAAGTTTCCTCCTCCCACGGCCTCTGTCCCCCGCACGTACACACACATACGCTCATAAACTGCTCACCCTTCTCCCTGCTCCAGGAGGCCTCCAAGTTGCAAGATGCGGGGAGAGATGACCTGGGGCGAACCGCCTGCCTGGTGCTTTGTACCGATTCATAGAGACCCCGTGTGACAGAGTTGAACTGCCCTGTAGGGTTTTCTAGGCTGTAGTCTTTACAGGGAGCCCTGGTGGCGCCTTAGTTAAAGCGCTCGACTGCTAACCAAAAGATCAGTGGTTTGAATCTGCCAGCCACCCTGCAGAAGAAAGCTGTGGCAGTCTGCTTCCGTAAAGATTTACAGCCTTGGAAACTCTATGGGGCAGTTCTACTCTGTCCTCTAGGGTCGTTATGAGTCGGAATCGACTCAGTGGCAACGAGTGACCTTTACAGAAGGAGATTGCCAGGCCTTTCCTCCCTCGGAGCCGCTGAGTGGATTCGAACCGCCAGCCTTTGGGTTAGCAGCCAAGCACTTAACTGTTGGTAGGTGCTAAAAAATATTTGTGGGATAGCTGGATGGATGAGGTTTTGAGCAAGCTGTGGCTGATGTCCATGGGGGTAAGGAGGCCGAGAATGCCTCTTTCTCTGTGAAAGCACCTACTGTGTGCCAGGCCTCGTAGCAGATGTGCAGGGTGGATTCGGTTACTGTCTTGTTGTTATTGTTGTTGTCAATTGCTGCCACGTTGGCTCCATGGTAACTCCATGTGCCATAGAACAAAGCATTGCCCAGTCCTGCGCCATCTTCATAATCGTAGTTGCGCCTGAGTTCATTGTTGTGGCCACTGTGTATTTTGAGTGCCTTCCAACCTACGGGGCTCATCTTCCAGCACTAGATCAGACAATATTCTGTTGAGATTCATAGGATTTTCATTGGCTGGTTTTCGGCAGTAGATAGCCAGGCCTTTCTTCCTAGTCTTAGTCTGGAAGCTCTGCTTACCTGCCGATATTTGAAATACCGGTGGCATAACTCTGTCACAGCACCGTTCACACTGTGTTGTGACTGTTTACTTGACAGCCTGACCAACTGTGAGCTGCTGAGGGCAGAACTCATGTCTGGTTGATCTTTGCCTCCTCTGGGTGTGGGCACAGAGCCAGGCGAAAGGAGGATGGACAGTCATCTCTGTCGACCCTCTGCCACCTGTGATAGTACATCCCATCATGCACATCCCATCCTGAGCTGCGGAAGCACGGTCCTCACATTCACCCAAGGTGCTCTCGTCTCTTCTTCCCCTTCCCTGGCAGGAGTTCCCCTTGGCCATCCTCAGGGGCTGGGAGTGCTACTGTGCTTACCCCACGCCCCAGTTCAACCTGCGGGATGCAGTGAATGGTTCACTGTGCGGCCAGGAGCCCGAGGCACAGAGGCTGGGGGATTACTGTGAGGTCTACCAGACGCCGGTGCAAGGTGAGCTCTGCCCAGGGTGAATGAGGTACACAGGGACCTCCTCCCTGCGGCTGCCGCTGGTTGGGGCATTTGGCCTGAGGGTTGGGGAATAGTTTTCAGGATTTGCAGCTGCCGGGCCTGGCTGAGTGTGCAAACATGGGATGTGTAGGGTGTTTGCATAAGGACCCTGGCATCTTAGTGGGTGGTGGCGATAGTGGGGAGGGTGAGGTCTCCATCCTCCCCTGTTTGAAGAGCTCTTGAGCCTTTATCTGAATCTCTGGTGATGCAGTTGGTGAGAGGAAGTGCAGAGAGAGGTGGGGCCCAGAGGGATGGCAAGATGGTGGGGGATGGGCACGCAGGCGGAGACCAGAGGATGGGAGGAATTAGAGCCACATTACCACAGGAGCCTCTTATGTCTCAGAGGCCAGCCAGGACCTGGGACCAGTCAGGCCCCTGGGCTGTGGTCCTGGACCTCCTTTTTGGTGTCGGGTCCAGCCTGCCCAGCTGACCTCAGGAGCTGATGAGAAGAACAGGTGGGAAGGGGCGTGACCAGCCTTTATGAAGCCCTGCTGTGACCAGACACAGTCCTGGGTGCTTTGGGGCTTTACCTGTGATTTCATAAGCTCCTTGCATCAGCCCTGGCGGGGAGAAGATGAGAGGCAGAGAGGGTACTTCCTTGGAATTAGCGCAGCCCTGGTTCATTGTTGGATGTACCTGGGTGTGTGGCGTTCTCAGGTCGGCTGCAGTACCACCCACCTCCCCTGTAGAATTTGGGAGCCAGGGTTTACCTGTGGCCATGGAGACAAAGCTGGAGCTGAGGTTCCAGAGGGCCCGATTCCCACCCCACTGCTGCATGGGGCACGGGAGGCCTTGTCACCAAGGCTTTCTCTAGCTAGCCACGAACCTGTGCAGCCAGGGTACAGGGGGCAGATCTCTTACCCTCCTTGGGCCTCAGTTCCCCCACCTATTAAACGGGAGTCTTGGTCCAGTAGTTCCTGTCTAGGGGACTCCAGCCGCAAATCTGTGAGTCATTGATGAGGTGAGTAACCCTGAGGCAACTTGTGGACTTTCAGACACTCGGTGCACAGACCGGAGGTTCCTGCCCACCAAATCCAAAGTGTTTGTAGCTTTGTCAAGCTTCCCGGGAGCTGGGAACACATGGGCGCGGCACCTCATCGAGCATGCAACTGGCTTCTATACAGGCAGTTACTACTTTGATGGAACCCTCTACAACAAAGGTAAGTCAGCCCAGGAGGGGCGGGGCAGGGAAACAGCTCCCTGGGGCCAGACTGGCATCTCTCCCGCCCTGCTGAGCAACTTAGAGCACCACAGCAGTGCTTCTCAAACTTTAGCGTGCATAAGGATCATCCAGAAGGCTGATTAGAACACGGGCCCCTAGGCCATACCCCCAGAGGTTCTGATTCATTTGTTCTAGAGGGGACGGGGCTGAGAACTTGCATTTCTCATGAGCTCCCAGGTAACGCTGATGCAGCAGCCCTAGGGCCACACTTTGAGCAGAATACATGAGAGAATGTTCTAGATCTGAAGGGAAAGGCTGGCGGCTTGAATTCCCTCTCTGTAAACATTTCTTGAATTTCCTGTAATTTTTAGAACTCTCAGTAAAGGGCAAGGGGTAATGCATCAAAATGTCGTATGTGTCTCTGTGTGTGTGTGTGTGTGTGTGTGTGTGTGTGTGTGTGTGTGTGTTTTAAATAGGTCTAAAAATCTTCAGGAGTTTTATGGTTTCTAATTTTCCCCCTGTAGAAATAAGAGGCCTCATTATACCAAGTACATTAACTTAAATGGCTCAAGTCTGTGTTGTCTAAGAACTAAGGATCTCAGACAAGTCAAGTAGCATCTAAATTTGGCAAAATTTATTTCTCCACTTTCCCATTTGAAATATGAAACATTTTCTCTGTGTTTCTTAACTAGTGTCTGGTTTAGGGAAAGATGGTATATCAGTAACATACTAGAGAAAAATGGAAACTTCTGAGCCTGGCAGTGGGCTCTGGAATCACCTGCAACAATCTTGGTCTGGTTGGGAAAAAGACAAGGTTGTCCATATAACCCAGCCTCATCTTCCTGGGGCGTCTTGAGTATGATAGACATCTGCAGATGAGAGGGGAAGTGGCCAGTCAAAGCACATGGTCCTGCCCACTCTGGCCTAGTCCTCTAGGAATCACCCACTGTGCACAGGCTACAGTTACCCACCTTGTTCACCTAGAAGGCCTTTACCTTATTCAGGCAGCTGGCCATTTTGGTCTACATATGGCTAAATGGCCCAATGGTTGGCATAGCTGGGTGTAAGAAATGGCTGATACTGCTTCACAGGTGTTAGAGATGCCCAGTGCATCTTTGAGCCTTATGGGACTGGTTAGACTTAACTGCAGGCTTCAGAACATTGACAGAGCAATGACACACACGTGCAAAAAATCACAAGACAGCTCTAGACCCAATCTTGTGGGTGAATGTTGTCTGAGCTACAAGGCAAATGGCTGTCGTTGGAATGGGCTGAGGCAGTGCAAAAGGCACCCTGTGTCTCAGGGTTGTCAAACATCAGACTTCAGGAATATTCAGCTCATGGTTTAACTCTTTCTTTCCTGGAATCACCCAGCTGTTTGACAGATCGAATCAAAGCAAAGGCTATTGCCCATGGCAGAGATGAGTGTGTGAAACATGTGTTGAGTTTCAGTGGGTGAACCCAGACTTCCAGATTCAAAAAACCTGCATTTTCCAGGCGTAAAAGAATCCCTTAGTGCTCACTGTAGATAAAAATGCTTCCTAGCCATGCATGAAGGAGGTGAGGGATAGAACTCATTTAGGTTTCCAAGGGCCCAAGATAAGCTCAGGAGCATTTATGGAGTGGGTCTTCAGAGTAGAATGGTAAATATATCCATGGCATGGGCTATGTGAGATGTGGTAAGGACAGGACACTAGATTCAGGTGACATCTTTTCCAGGAAGCCTTTGATGACATCCCACTATTGTTATTTGTTGTTAAGTGCTGTTGAGTCAGTTCTGACTCATAGCGACCCCACGCACACCAGAACGAAACACTGCCCAGTCCTGCACCATCCTCACACTTGTTGCTATATTTAAGCCCATTGTTGCAGCCACTGTGTCAATCCAGCTCATTGAGGGTCTTCCTCTTTTTCACTGACCCTCTACTTTACCAAGCATGGTGTTCTCCAGGGACTGGTCCCTCCTGATAACATGTCCACAGTACATGAGACAAAGTCTCACCATCCTCACTTTTAAGGACACTTCTGGCTGTACTTCTAAGACAGATTAGTTCATTCTTCTGGCAGTCGGTGGCATATTCAGTATTCTTCACCAGCACCATAACTCAAAGGCATCAATTCTTCTTCAGTCTTCCTTATTCATTGTCCAGCTTTCACATGTATATGAGGTGATCGAAAATACCGTGGCTTGCATCAGGTGCACCTTAGTCCTCAAAGTGACATCTTTTGCAGCAGATTTGTCCAATGCAATACATTGCTTGATTTCTTGACTGCTGCTTCCATGGGCATTGGTTGTGGATCCAAGTAAAATGAAATTCTTGACAACTTCAGTATTTTCTCCATTTATGATGATGTTGCTTATTGGTCCATCCTGCTACATCCTCTAAATTGATCCCTCCACTCTTTGTTCTCACAAGTCCCGTGCTCTGTATTCTTCTTGGCTGTCTATGTGGCTGTTCCCCCTAACATACTGTAAGCCCCTTAAAGACAGGGTCTGAATCCTGTCCGTTTATCCCTCACATAAAAGTTTGACACAAAGTTGTTGTTGTGTGCTGTCGAGTCAATTCTGACTCATAGCGACCCTATAAGACAGAGTAGAACCACGCTATAGGGTTTCCTAGGCTGTAATCTTTATGGAAGAAGATTGCCAGGTCTTCACTCCCACGGAGCTGCTGGATAGGTTCGAACAGTTGACCTTCTGGTTAGCAGCCGAGCTCTTCACCATTGAGCCACCAGGGCTCCTCTGACACAGAATACTCAAATAATAATCTTTGTTGATAAATGTGTGACTCTATGGATGGATGGATGGATAGAGCATGACCTTTCCAGCCAGCAGTCATTTGAGTTCTGCATACCCAGTACTGCCCAAGGGACACAGGGAGGGGACACACCCCAGAGAGACTGGTCAATGGGAGCAAGGCTCTGTTCATAGAAGCTGGGCCCTGGGTGCCACAGGGGCAGCTGAGACCCTGGCCACACCAGCTCTGGGGCCTATGGTGGAGAACCACCTCATATGCAAGGTGGGGCCCTGTTGTAGGTCCTTGGCATAAGACCAGAGGGTGGGACTCCAGCTGCTTACACCCCTTGAACCTGATGGTGGGGATCTCAACCCCACTGTGGGGAAGTGGATGAGAGGGAAACATAAAGCCGTGTAGAGAGAGTCTTGGTGCTGTTGCCATGATGCTATGAGATCTTGGGCAAGCCACACACCCACTCTGACCCTCAGACTCTTCATCCAGCTATGTCTGCAGCTATGGTTATTTTTAAGGCTCATCTGAAATTATCACTGTAAAAATGCCCACAACATATACATCTCCAGAGTCTGTAAGTGCCTCCTGCTCTCACTTTCTGTTGGGCAGGGGTCACTCCTGTGGAGGCCGCCCCAGTGGCTCTCCTACAGTACCTTCCATGAGCCTATCATATGCCCCTAATATTGGCTCTCCCTCAGGATTGCAAGTTAGCACTCAGACCTGTTTGCCACCGTGGGAGCAGGGGCCCCACAGACGCCTTCCTCCAAAGGGCCCTCTCATTTCTCGTGGTCAGGGTTCAAGGGTGAGAAGGACCACTGGCGGAGCCGGCGCACCATCTGCGTGAAGACCCACGAGAGTGGCAGGAGGGAGATCGAGATGTTTGACTCGGCCATCCTGCTCATCCGGAACCCTTACAGGTCCCTGGTGGCTGAATTCAATAGGAAATGCGCTGGGCACCTGGGCTACGCAGCTGACCGCAACTGGAAGAGCAAAGGTAAATGGGGGAGGGTCTGCGGGGTGGCGGTCTCATCGCGCAGGAGAGGGACACTGTGGGGATACAGGGCCAGTCTACTCATGCACACACTCACCCATCCTCCTGGGGACTCGTTGTCACTGTGGCTCACTGTGTCCCCTTCCTCGGTCCCTGGGACAGTACTAGCTCAGAACCTGAATGACTGCTGGAAGACAGACTCTACCTGTCTGTCCACATAGTCACTGTGTGGCAGTGTGGCTCACCACCTCCGCATCCCCTCCACACCTGCCCAGGGTCAGATAGCATAGCGTTTTACGTGGAATACCAAGTTTGATCACAAGAATCTTCTCTGTCCTCCGAGATGGGATGATCTACACCCCCTTGCCATTGCTGCTCACACCCACGCGTTCACCTGGAGCTGTGGGAGGAGCAAAGGCTTTGGACCCAGCTGCCTCCTCATCTCTGGGACGGGGTTGCTCATTCACAGAATGAGGCAGTAACCCAATGGAACAGCCACCTCCACCTCATGGGGCTTCTGGGTCAGTGAGATTACACGTGTGCCCAGTCTGTGGTTGGCACTCAGGGTGTTAGCCCCCTCCTAGACTGCTTCTTGGAGCTCCTGGGTGGTGCAAGTGGTTAATATGCTCGGCTGCTAACCAAAAGATTGGAGGGTCGAGTCTACCCAGTGGTGGCCTTGGAAGAAAGACCTGGTGATCTGCTTCCAAAAAATCAGCCATTGAAAACCCTATGGAGCACAGTTCTACTGGCACACATGAGGTTGTGACAAGACACAGTTGACTTGATGGCAGCTGGTTCTGGTTAAACTGCTTCTCGCTGACCGTCCACGGTGTCCCGCTGAGTAATCGCCACCCCTACCTTCCAGATGAGAAAAGTGGAGGCACAGAGAGCATAGCCTCGTGACTTGTCCAAGGTGGCCTGGGTGGCATGTGGCTGAGCCTGCCCTCAAACCCAAATTTTCTGATTCCGGGTGTTCTTTTAGTCAGTCTGCTGACAGATACACTGATTGAAGGCCTACTGTGTGCCAAGCACTGGGCAAGGCACACAGGACTCCCGGCTAAGGAAGTCATGATCTCGGCCCTCAAGGCACTCTCAGTCTAGCCCTTGGATAATGAATAATAGAGATGACAGACAGTGTGGTCCATGACATGAAAATGTATCAGTCAGAAATAAAGCTCAGTCCTGGCAGGCTGGGTGGGGAGAGGAGCCGGTGTGGGAGCCTTATGGCCACGCAGGCGTGTTCTTCTGTCCTCTCTAGATTCTGGAACAGCTGAGGCAGATGGGTGTACTCACCTGTCCCCAAGCCCCTCCTTTCGCTATCACCCTCAGCCTAGACCAGCCCCATACAGCCATCTCGTGTCCCCCTTGCCAACTCCCCTTCAGGAAAGGCTCAGTAAACCCATTAGTGGGGCAAGGATCATGGAAAGAGCTTACCCCCGTCAGCAGAGCTGGGCTGTGATGCCTCCTCCACCTCGTATGAACCACATGACCCCGGGCAAGGTGCACACCTCTTCTTCTGGAGCCTCAGTTTTTCATCTTAAAGACAAGGATAACAACAGTCCCTATCTGTCTTAGTTTCCTAATGCTGCTGTAATGGAAATACCACAAGCAGGTGGTTTCAATGAGCAGAGATTCATTTTCTCACAGTTTAGGAGGCTAGAAATCCAAATTCAGGGTGCCAGCTCTAGGAGAAGGCTCTCTGTCCGCTCTGGGAGAAAACCCTTGTCTCACCTTCTCCGCGTTCTTCTTGGTGCCCATTGGAGTTCTCCACGTGGCATCTATCTTTCCCGCATTTTTGTTTCCCTCCTTCACTGCCTAACCTGCTTTTTTAGTCTCTCAGAAGTGATTGGCTTAAAACACAGTCTACACTGATATGGACTCATTAACATAAAAAAACCCTATTGCCAAATGGGATTACATCCACAGGTATACCAAACCCAAATCCACTGCCGTTGAGTCGATAGTGACTCATAACGACCCTATAGGACAGAGTAGAACTGCCCCATAGGGTTTCCAAGGAGCAGCTGGTGGATTCAAACTGCTGACCTTTTGGTTAGCAGCCAGATGCTTAACCACTACTTCACCCGGGGTTAGGATTTATAACACATGTTTTAGGGGAACACAACTTAATCCGTAACACTGTCCCATAGGTGCGTGGTAAAGATTAGAGAAAACAAACACCTCCCAGTGTACTTGAGGTAGATTAATAGCCCAGTTATGGAAACCATTTTTGTTAGGATAGTTCTTGACCTGTCTGCTACCCTGGGAGTGGGTACCCCACGACCACCTTCCTCTAAAGGCACCCTCTCATTTTTCATGGGCAAGGTTCAAGAACCAACCCACCCCCCGCAAAAAAAAATCTTAGTCTGCTGGCTAAGAAATCCCATGGATCAGACCATCTGCAGAGGCTTCCGTGGCTGTCAAGTAGACTCCGACTCATGGTGACCCCATGTGTATCAGAGTAGAACTGTGCTCCATAGGGTTTTTAGTGACTGATTTTTCAGAACTAAGTTGCCAGACCTTTCTTTTGAGACACGTCTGGGTGGACTTGAACCTCCAACCTTTCAGTTAGCAGTGAGGACGTTTAACCATTTGCGCCAGCCAGGGACTCCTTTAAAGAAGGGTACAGGACAGAAAATAGAGCCTGCCTGGCCTCTTCAGCTCAGCAGGAAGCTCAGCGGCTACCCACATACCCCCTTCTCAGGCCCCCATCACCACATCGGATATGGGTCGTTGCCAGGTTCAAGATCAAGGTATATGTGGTTCACCTTGACAGAGAAACCACTGCCTTCGTTTCCCTCTGGTCTTTTATACTGCTGTGTCTGCGTCACAGAAGCCCGAGACCCATGGGCCAAGTCCCAGATCTCCCTGTTCAGTCCAGGTTCCACCCAAGGCTCAAGGGTTTCCTAATAAACAGGAGAGAGAGCCACTTCTTGGCACACGGCATCCCACGTTTGCCTTAGCTCAATGTGTTTCCAGCTGTGGAGAGACAGACTCAAGGTCACCATCTTCCAGGCAGACCCAGGTGTCTGCAGAGCCCAGCCTGGTATTAACCCTCTACTCACACTCACCCAAAGGGCCTTCTTCTGTAGGAGATTTAGGTAGGGTGGTCCTGGGCAGTGGTCGATGGGGAATCCTGGCTGCTTTCCTCTTTTGAGCAGGCCAGGGGCTGCCCTGACTTCTGTCCCCTCTCCTCCCGCCCCAGAGTGGCCGGACTTCGTCAACAGCTATGCGTCATGGTGGTCCTCGCACGTGCTGGACTGGCTCAAGTATGGGAAGCGGCTGCTGGTGGTACACTATGAGGAGTTGCGCCGCAGCCTGGTGCCCACACTGCGGGAGATGGTGGCCTTCCTCAACGTGTCCGTCAGTGAGGAGCGGCTGCTTTGTGTGGAGAACAACAAGGAGGGCAGCTTCCGGCGGCGCGGCCGGCGCCCCCACGACCCCGAGCCCTTCACACCAGAGATGAAGGACCTGATCAATGGCTACATCCGGACAGTGGACAAGGCCCTGCGTGACCACAACTGGACCGGGCTGCCCAGAGAGTATGTGCCCAGATGATAGGCCCCCAGCCTCACCCCGGCCAGGACACAGTCACAGTACCAGCTGCGTACACGCTCGGAGGCTGGCCCACGGCCTCATGGGGACACATAGCAACGTCCATGCAGCCAGACGGAGGGCACGCCAGATGCTGCCTCATGCCCAGGGGACCCGACGCAGCCCTTGGCTCCACACTCGCAGACACACACATGTGCTTGTTGACACGCTGCCCCACACTCACAGTGCCCACATGGGCACAGCTAAGCCACTCACACAGGGTGCTCCAGGACACTCAGACCCGCTCTTAGACTCACAGATGCAGTCACACACAGACATATACGCACAAATGCTGGGCTCCGTGTTCCCAGAGGCTGGCTGGCTATCTCACTCACAGACACACAAGCACCCCAGGCAAGCCCTTGGGAGTCCCAGGTGTCCTGTTTCCAGGCCAGCTCAGACTTGCTCTTCGGGGCCCACTGATCTGCAGGAGCCGCGACTCCTGGACTCGGGGGCATTGGGCTGGGTGGCACCATGCTCTGTGCAGCAAGGACCATTGGGCTGGAGGTGAGGTCATAGACTGTTGCTGCCGGGCAGGTGGCCCCGTCTGCATGTCTGACATCCATAAATGTGTGCCATGTGACTGCTGCAGCCCGCCTCCCCCTTTTCTGTGGATGGGCTGGCAGCACCATGGGCACAGTGGGTCCCCCCGACCTCAGGCCTGGCTGTTACATGTTCTGTGCACCCACCGCCAACCCCTCCCCACCTGCCCCACACCAGCAATCCTTGGAGTGGGCTTCCTTGCCAGGCTTCTTCTCTGACCATCCTCAAGAAAGCTGGGGTTCACGCCATGCCCCAGAAGTGGCATGATGGGTGAGGGGAACAGTAGGGCAGAGGCTGGGCCTCCACGGGAACCCCTGAACCCAAGGGGCTGATACACCAGCAGGAGGAGGCTTGGGGTGGCCATGGGAGACTGTAGAGGGATGGTCTCGGGGATTGCTGTACCTAATTGTGCCCTGCCGCGTATCAGCAGGCCCCTGCTCTCCACGGGGTCCCAGGCTGGCCTGGTAAGAGCCGGAGCTGGATAGCAGCTCAGGCGGAAGTGGGGCTGCATAAGCCATCTACATGACCTCCAGAGGCCTGGCCGTGCTGCAGCTCTGATGTCACTCCACCACCTTCTGTCGTCATTCCTTTGACACATGGTCTCTTTGCCACACCCTCTGTCTCTGCGAGGCTGGCATCTTCCCCGCTTTTCCATCCATTTCCTTGACGGAAGGGCAAGGACGATAACAGACGCTGTGTGTTGTGTGCTGGCCACGGAGGAGGATGGACTTGAAAGCCCCCCTCCCTCTGGAGCTTACAGTCCGGTAGGGGCAGGGGGAGACATCACAGACGGGTGCGGACAGCCTCGTAGCAGAAGAGGGTGTGCTGTGCAGGCTCAGGAGGGTCAGCCAGTCCCCTCAGGCTTGGCAGGGAGTGCATCGCAGGGCTCGGAACTGGTCTCAAAGAATCTGTAGAAATTATCCTGGCAAAGGAGAGCGGAAGGAGAATTGAGGCAGAGAGAACAGCATCTGCAAAGGCTCAGAGGCCTGGAAAACCCCAGTGTGTTTGAGAAATGGGTGAAGAGTTGACTGTGGGGCATGTGCACCCATTTCTGTACAGTGGTAGGAGGGGAGTGAGTGGGTGAAGATGGAGGTGGGGCAGAGGAAGGGACTCCGTCCTTCCAGCCACTTAGCGCTCAGCCTGACTACCAGGCCTAGGGTTGAAGGGGTGCTGATGCTAACTTCCGTCTTGGGTCACCCTTCCCTACCTGTCTAGGGCTCAGAAATGAGGCCGTGGAGACCAGGAGTCTCAGGCCTGCAGGGCAGGGGTCTGACCCGGAGCAGACTCAGGGTGACTAAGACACAGGAGGACTGCTGAGGAGGTCAGGTTGCGTGCTGACCTCAGAGAGGAGGGAGGGGGGCAGCCCCTGAGCCCTCTGCAGCTTCTTCAGGCCTGGTGTATCCCTGGCTGGGCCCCTGATCCTGCCTTCTGCCATCAGGGAGACCCATCAGCCTGAGCCAGGCTGTGTCAGGAGAAGACAGAGCAGATGGTTTGGGGGCTTCTGCTCCCTGCCCCCGAGAGCACCACCGGGGCTGGAACCCACGGGAGCTGCCCCTCCTCAGAGCAGAGCCTCCCTTAGCCTTCCATTTGTTGGTGGGTGGGTTTCAGCATCAGTGCTCCTGGGGGCCTCCAAATCCTTCCACTGAGATGGCTCCAAACCGGCACTGATGCTGAGGCTGTTCTTGATCTTCCCACAGCCTCACTGCACACAAGGCTGAGAACACCAAGGTCTTAGTAAATGTTTATTGGTGCAGGACGTTTCCATGGTCAAGTCTGCAGAGGCCCCATGAGGCTCCCCCTGAGTGGTGGGGCAGCTGAGACCCACCCAGGAATCCCCACCCTGCCTTGGGAGGGGTGAGGAGGCAGCGACACCTGCATCCCAGAGCAAATTCTAGAGTCTCAAAAGAGACAACAGGCACTGGGCTGGTGGAGAACTGGGAACCTGGCCTCCTCCTGAGATTGGCTCCCTGGCTTTGGCCCTCACTCTGGGCCATTGGATGGCCTTCAGGGGAGAAGACTTGGAAGCCATGGTGGCTGGCAGGGTGTGGCTGGAGGACCGGCCAGGACCGCAGCCTGGACATGACTTCTTGGACTTCCCCTGCCACCCCAGGAATCTGGGGAGGGCAACAGTGCCAAACTCTTCCTCTTGGTGGATGTGTTCTTCCAGTCACTGTCACCAGGTACCCAGAGTCCTCATCTCCTTCCAGGTGGAACACCACCTGCGCAAATGCCTTGTAGTCTACTGTGCATCTTAGTCAGCAATGCAGGCGAGTAGAATGATAGAGCCGGGATCCGTCCAGGACACAGTGAGTCACTCTCCACCCGACACTTCTCCCAGTTGTTGGATGGTCCAAGAAAACGCAGATGCCCTGCCTGATGTTGCTGGGCTTCAGCAGCCTTCATTCCAGGTCGGTCTCTGCAGACAATCTCATCAGACATGCAGAAAGGGGATCTGTCTGTCCTTTTAGGCAAGTCCATTTGTCTGTCTCCAACTTAGGTTTCATCTATAGCTCTCAGTAAAGGGGATCCTGCCCCAACCAGCCAAGGAGGAAAAGCTGATGTGTACTTAGGGGAGAAGTGTAGCAAATGCATCAGGAGCCAATTAGAACAGTACGGTGAAACCCCAACTGTCTACAGATTCCAACTCTAATCGCAATGCTACGGAGTTAACAGAAACCTGTGTTAAAATATGTAATTTTCATGGATTTCATCTCCTGTTGTGGATCAATTTGGCAAACTCAAAATATATCATTTTAAAAAACTAAAACACACTGATAATCCCAGTGATGTGTAAATGAGAGAGAAGAATAGACAGGCTTCCAGACCCCGGGAAGAAAGCTGCTTAATTATGTGAGCATCTTATAGTGAAGTCTCTTCCAGCTAAAATTAGATTTGGAGTGCGTGAATATGCGATAATGTTTGCACACCAGAAAGCATTTTTTCTCTTACAAGTAGCAGGAGCTACTTGGTTCTTAAGGGGCCCCAAGAGGGAACCAGGAAGTATTGAGGTTGATCTTTGTGCCTGCAGGAATTCTTGGGGCACAGGTTTGTGTTCTTTTAGCTGGAAACTCTTTGGAGAGGTTTGAGCCAGGGTGCCTCCAAAGTGGTTCATTTCGGTGTGGGGAGAAATTGATTGGTCTGACCTCACATTGATTGATCACCACTTGGTGTGGGTTAAGTTGGACTGCATGAGGTAGGGAGTGGAGTGGAGTGGAAAAACTGTAGGGTCTTCAGATAGAGGGCTGGGTTGTGGTTCCAGCTGTTTACTGTGATCTTGGACAAAGACTTTTCCCTCTCTAGTCTCAGTTTCCCATCCATAAAACGAAGGATGTGGTGGATGTTGTTGGTTGCATCCCCACCGTCCATTCCCCCATTTCCTTTCCCAGTAGCCCCTGATTTCTGTTTGGGGATTGAAATAATCTGGGAGAACTGATTCACCAAGGTCAAGGTTGGAACACATGACCTGGTCTAAGCCTATCAGCACATTCCATCTCTCTGATTACAGTGATTGGTTTAGGTGTGGACATGTGATCTGAGCCAGTGCTGGGAATGCTGGGTAAAGGGACTCATTTTACCACCCTGCTGGATGTAAAAGAGGAACTAAATAATCCTGGGTCTTGATGGTGGCCATCTTGGAGCCATGAAGGGGAACCACTCTCAGCTTGAAGCTACACCGCTGAAGGGAGAGTTGAGAGGCAGAAAGAAACCAGGCTGTTGGTGACATTGTTTTCGTTCAGGATCAAGCCTTTCCTGCAGCTGGATCTATCTATGGACTTTGTTTTGTTACTTGAGACAGTAAATCCCCCTTATTGTTTAAGCTAGTTTGAGTTGGGTTTTCTGTTGCTTACAACCCAGAGCATTGTGCAAACGGCTTGGATTGGAAGGCCCTGGGGCCTCTGACATTCACTGTCTCAATGGCTGATGTAGATAAAGCCTGAAACTCAGACTAGCATGAGCAGCTGTGTCTTTCCTGTTAGAAATGGGAAGTTGCTATTTACAGGAATGGGGTTGGGTATGAAATGTTCAAAAGGAAGTTGTGCTCAGTCAGGCAGGACAAATAGCATTTTTAAATCAGTACACGGTGAGGTCACCCAGATGTCCTTAGAAAATATTCCCTCCTGGATGCCAGCCCAAACCATTGGTTGTCTCATTTAATTCTTAATCAGCGCTTTGATGTGGGCATTGCTATTATCTCCTCTTGACAGGAAAGAGGACAGAGACACCAATCTGCAATGAATGTAAAGTATGGTGCTCTTTGAATCGGCCATAACTTAATGGAGAATATGATGTGTTGGAAGGCATGCTTTGATAAGATCCTTGAATTGGGGGTGACGTTCCCTTCAAGGAACATGTTTGAGTAACAATAGATGACCAGGGTATTCATTTCCTAGGGCTGCCATAACAAATTATCACAAACTTGGTGGCTTAAAACATAGAAATTTATTCTCTCATAGTTCTAGGGGACAGAAGTCCAAAATCAAAGTATTGGTAGGGTTGGTTCCTTCTGGAGGTTCTGAGGGATAATCCATTCTGTGCCTCTCTACTAGCTTGTGGTGGCTCTTGGTGTTCCTTGGCTTGTAGACACATCACTCCAAGCTCTACCTTCATCTTCACTGGTTCCCTCCTGTGTCTCTTTCTCCCTTTATGTCTTCTATAAGGACTCCAGTCATTGGATTTAGGATCCACCCGAATCCAGGATGATACCATCTCAAAGTCCTTACCTTAATTACATCTGCAAAGACTCTTATTCTAGATAAGTTCACATTCTGGGGTTCCAGGTGGATAT